CCCCAAAACCCCCAAAACCCCAAAACCCCAAAACCCCTGACCTCCTAAGAGCAGCTGAACAATTAGTTTGGTAGCATTAGCAGCTTAGAGCCCTTTTAGTGTAATGTTAGAGAGCCCATTTTCATTCAGCACTGACTGAGCGAAGGCTTTGGTTAGGTTGCAGGTGGACAGGCTGAGTGTTACAGATCTTGAGTTGATATTGGCAACCTTGGCTAGCCCTTTCACAATATTCTTAAACCTCTTGAAGTCATTACTCTCCCACTTACTATAGTCACTTCCTCCACTTCCTAATAAATTAATATGTTCAAAAGTAGACGCATCCAATCCAGTTCCAAAATCGACCTCTTCGTCAGTCATAATCTCACATTTCTGGAACCAGATAGTCTTACAGTGTTTTGCAGAAATTATCAGGTCTTGGAATTGCTCTTTTGTTATAGGAATAACAAAGAATATAATTTGCAATAAGTTTGGGTCCCGGCTGGGTTAAGCAAACTTTGGGAATTTTAAAAGTTTGAAATTTAGCCTGATAGGATGTGAAAAGGAGATCTGGCTTGGTTTTAAGATGTTGGTATAAAATTTTCTATTGTTGGTTTAATCAAAATTAGTTATTACCTTGAATTGATACAAAAGCACTTCTTCAGTAAATTGTGAGTAAACCTTCTCTAAAGCTTTCATGTACCCACTCAGTTCCAAGCAGGGTAATTTTCTGTATCAGAAGTATAATTTTTTAACTGAAGTGTGGCCTGGGCGCACAGCATTTACTAGAAATTTTGAGACTAGGGAAGTATTGTTGAAGATAAGGGTCTGAAGGAGAGAAGGTAAGGAAGGTTTAGAACCATTTTTGATATATTTCTCATAGATTTTTATTGACTTAAGATTAAGTATAACAATTATTTACTTCTGAGACAATTCTTACTACATCTTTTAAACATCCTAATTTCCACTCTTAACATTACAATTAGTCGTAACAAACTGTGTAGTTCTAAGTACCTTCCAGTCTACCTCTATAAGCAATCGGTTCTTTTCTTACCTTAAACCCTCTAAGTTTGTTTTTATTTTACCCAAATCGCTCCCTTGCCCTTGTTTAGGTCTCCTGTGTCGTCAATATAGAGGTGTTTGAGAGGAGGAAGGGTACACAGCTGTAAAGCTTTTACCAGCTTTAGGTGGGAAGCAGTGGTCAAATTTATTTGGAGGGTAGATGAGGAGTCGAAGGAGGAAGAAGAGTTTGTGAATGAGTTGTGGATGGCTTTGAGGTCGGAGTGGGTGAGATTTTGGTGGGAGGATTCGAGAGATTCTTCGAGAGAGAGGATTTCCTGTTTGAGTTCTTCGATCTGGGAGGTTTTTCTGGCTTCTTCAACGGTTAGTTCTTCAATTTTAGCCTGCATTTCATTATTAGTGTTGTCTTCAGTTAAGGTTTTGACTTCTTCTTCAAGTCTAGTATTTTCTTGTTCCAGATTCTCTATCTGGTCCTTGCTTTGCTTTACCTCTTCATTAGATTTGTTGAGTTGTTCACGTAAAGGAGCGATCTGATTTCTCTGAATGGTTCTCTGTTGTTCGTCCAGCTTAGCCCGCCAATAAGCCTGAGTTTCTTCTTGTCTAAGACCAGGCCCTTTTTTGTAGTTGTCGAAGGTTCTGACCTGAAGCTCTCTGCTGTAGTACTCCATCACCCTTGATACCATAATCATGTTCAGAAAAGCTCTGGCATCAATCAAGAATTTCGCTAAGTCTCCCCGCTGATTGTTTCTTCTGATCATTCTAAACCTGTCTATACCAAGAAATGATGTATTAACAATTGTGAAAAGTTATGAATAGTTTTAATAACGCAAGAAAGAGCTAAAGCTAGGCAAGAAGAAACCATATTAAAGGGAGAATCTACTAACTCTTCTATGTAACATTATATCGTAAAATAATAAGAGTTGATCTTAATACAATACTCTTCATTCATGATATCAGAAGAGTAGACCAGCTTTATCGAAATAGCACTCATTCCAACATTTTACTATTGATTAACGAGATATCCATCTGATGTCTGACCTCGGGTCAATCCTGTAAAATCTAAGTATAGGCAGTTCACTTAAGAAAAGCGTGAATATCACAAACTTCTAAATTAATAAAGCAACAAAAAGATTGATATTAGGGCTTTGGGATTTCGAAAATATTCAAAAGCATGCACATGTTTTAGGAATTTAGAACTTTGATTTTATTCTTTATCATCCTTTTGAAATTATAGGCGATGCAATAAAGATTTTAAATGATTTCAGTTGCATTAAAATCTTGATTCCTTAGATAGAGTTTATCAAAATTTTAGAACATTGATGAGAATAGAGCAAACATCTGAGATCAAGGGAGTAACTTACGATTGAGATCCAGAAATGATTTCCTAAAGTCTTCTAGTTCACCATTGAGACCATCCCAGTTTTTGTGCAACTTGTATTGGTCCCTGAACTCTGTTATTTTTTCGATATTGAAATGGGCTAAACGAGAGTTACTAAGGTCTTTATAAATTAAAAATAAAACGGTCAACCTCAGTAATCAGTCAACCAAAATAGGCTTGCATGAAAACTATTTAATGATTCAATATTAGCGAAAATCTAGCTGCATTTGCTCGATAGTCTGCTGAGCGAATCCTAGCAGACACTTACCTAAGTCGAGTCACTCTTCAATGGGCTCTAGTGGAGTAATAGGTTCTCAGTGTTCTCCACAGAACGAAGTGGCCATACATTTAGAAAAGATAAACATATCTTCTTTTAGAGGATTTGTATCATTCTTTCTAACAACGTATGAAATTTCCTTTCATTTTGGCCTTCTGTCACAATCTGGGAATTTTGTCATATTTTATTTATTAAAGAATATTACTTAATCAAAATAGTACCTATCTCACGGGGTTTTGGGGTTTTGGGGTTTTGGGGTTTTGGGG